AAAACAATCTGTAAACGTAAAAATGAGCAATACCTTTCTAAGAAGTGAAGAAAATATCCTGACCTATTGTAATACTGTATAAAATATTCATTATTTTTTACAGGTTATGAAGTATTGATGCACACAGGTTGCATAAAACTGTGTTCACTATGTTGTAGTCTGTGAAACAATGTAATATGCAAAATCAACATAACACTAGGAAATAATGCACCTAGCAGGGTCCCAACATGATTCTGCTTGATTTGCCTATACAGTGATTCCTTGAGTTACGATATGAATCTGTTCTAAATGACTTATCGTACCTCAAAGCCCCAAAATACATGGCTTTATGGTAATTCATTCCAAGACCCTAGAAGTGCAACTTTTATTGTATCTTGGAATTGAAGAGTTGGTGGTGGGGAAGAGGGGGGTTACTAGTTGCAAGGAGAAGCTCCTTCCAACTGCTGTCATTGAAAAAAAACTGTCCAGAGTTTTGTCACTTTTATCCGAGGCTCTTGACTGTATATCGTGTAGAACTATGTTACAGAGATCCATGTCATGAGCTCAGTTCACTCAGATAAGCTGTGAGTGCACAGTATATATATAAAACAAAATCCTGCCTCAGATGGTGCATGACAAATTATTCCTGGTTATATTTTATTATCTGAGAAATAGGGTAAATCTTCAATTTTTTGTGTCTTGGTGTATTCAAAATAGAAGGCAGGTGTAATAAAAGAGAGGCTTGGGGATGTCATTATTCTCCATAAGAAATGTTTTAGTGCCTGGAAATGTATAATGTTTATTTCAAACTGTTTTTAAATTTGGATTTTTTTTCAATTTTGCATATTATTATTATAATCATGAGGGAGTGCTTAAACCATAGGATTATACAGCACATTGGGGGGGTTATGGAAGGCATTCAGGCTCAATACAGGGAACTGGAGCACAGATCCAATTACCTAGATCAAGAGCCCCTCACCAGCATCAAGGAACCTCCCTTGAGGGGTTAATTTTGCATAAAATTGTCCAAATTACCAAATTCTGTGCACTTTACAGGATACTGCTGGTAGTCGAATGGGCAGTTTCTTGTACTCAATACACAGAATGGAAGGCATACTAGCGAAATAACTGAGAATTTAGTTAAATTAGAAAAAATTATCAAATGGTAGAAAATCTGATTAGAGCTTGGTTATGATTATAACACAAAATTAAATGGAAAACTTGAATTATGCAGACGCAAAGTTACGAGGTCAGGGTGCATTTTGTGCATCAGCAGTTTTGCAGACAGTCCTATTTTAAGCCATTTCCATTGCTTGAATGTGGATACTGTGAGCAATTTTAATTCTGGGTTCTTTTTGGCAAAAGGGTTAAAATAAGATTAAACATTATCTTCCAAATCACAGAAAGTGAGTTCAGTTTTTTCAATGTCAGGGTGCATTTTTATGAGTCTTTTCACACCTTCCCAATGAGTAAACAACTCCTCAATTTCTGCAGCTGTTTTCCTTTAAGTCACTTCTTCCTCCCCATTATCTTTACCCATTTTTCCCTAATTCAAGGAGCTCTTCCATTGTCAACTCCAGTTCATGGTCCTGAACTCCTCCACATCCTCTCCATCAGCCTCCAGCCCCATTGTCTCACCAAGAATGACCATCTCCTGGTTTACATCCTCCTCAGCTTTAACCCTTTCAGGGTCCGTGCCGTAGATCTACGGCTTTACATTCAGGGTCCAAATCGTAGATCTACGCCAAAACTCTAGAGGCTTCAAATTTAGCGCAAAAAGGCTGGTAGGCCTACATGTGAGAGAATGAGCCTGCGTGGTGTGTGTGCGCCGTAAACAAAAATTCTAGGCGCCGGCATAGCATTGTGGGAACACCGGGTCGGTTACCTTTGTTCATCATGCCTCGTCGCAAGGCAGCTCTCACTCCAAGGAAAATTAGGACTCTCCTCTTCCTATCTAATAGTTCTGACTCTGATGGAAGTGGAAATGAAGACGAATTCTTTGGCTTTGATTAGTTAGTGACTGAATGACTGAAAGGAATGACCAGAATATCGATAATAGTGCAGAAAACCCTGACGATCCTCAACCTTCTACCTCTGGAGTAGGCATGCCTCAGTCACATTCAGTTGTACCTCATCGCAAGAGAAAACTATTATTTTCGTGTGGCCAGGCCTCTGACTTCAGTAATGATGATGATAGTGACGTGGATTGTGATTTTATTGCTCTTGATGATCATTCGGGTAGTGATAGTGAGGAAACATATTCACCAGTGAAGCGTCAGTATATACGCCGCCGCATGCGCTCGGGTAGTGTTCCCTATGCAGTGCTTAGAGGACGGAGTACATCCCGTGGCCCTACACCAGGAATAGACAGTGAAAGTGAGAATGATGTGGCTACACTTGGCATGGATAGACCACAGGCATCAGTAGGTGGTGGTAGTGGTGATGGTAGTGCCACGGCAATGTATGACTCACCAGCCTAGGCTGGGACCCATGCTGCTGACTCCTCAGTTCAAGGACAAAGTGGAGCATCAGCCACCAGCCCACCACAACCACAACTACTAGCACAACCAACTTATGATGTCCAGCAAACCATATCTGGGATTGGAAGCAAAATCCCAATTTGTTCCCAAGCCCCACCAGTTTGATGATTCTCAAAGTGGAATTCTACCTACTTGTCCCCTTGGAAACACTGCAAATGAACTGGAATTTTTTGAACTATTCTTTGACTAGCCTTTGATGGAAACTATTGTCAGGGAAAGTAACAAGTATTTTGAGTACACCACGGCAAATACGATCATATCACCACAGTCAAAACTACACCGGTGGAAAGAGACAAATGTTGCAGAAATGTATTTGCTAATTTCTACCCTGGTCTTCAGTGATATCATCCCATTGAACAGGTTTATCTTACTGTTATGTATGTTGCACTTCTCTGACAAAACCAGACCTGACAGAAGTAACAGGTTATACAAGATTAGAAATGTTTTTATGTATCTGAAACAAAAGTTCAACATGTACTTTTATCCGTTCAAGAATCTTGTACTTGACGAGTCTTTGATTTTGTTCAAAGGTAGACTGTTGTTCCAATAGTATGGACCGAGCATGAGGAAAGGCTTTGGTATAAAACTGTTTGTACTCTGTGGCTGTGACAGTGGCCTGGTGTTGGATATTTTTGTATACACGGGAAGTAAAACATTGAAAGATACCAGGATGTTATTGGGTATCTTGGGTGCGTAGTAAGAAGCATGATGGCACCTTATCTTGGTAAGGGGCATACATTATATACTGATAATGGTATACAAGCCCTTTACTCAGTGATTCCTTGCAAGTGAACATGATAGATGTGTGTGGCACAGTGCGTTCTAATCATAAACATATGCCCAGGTTTAACGCAGGCACTCGTGGTGAAGAGGTGCAGGTGTTTACTGCCAATGACATCATGGCATTACAGTGGCATGACAAACGAGATGTCACATTGTTGACAACCATTCACCGTAACGAAATGCAAGACAGTGGCAAAGTTGATAGAGTGACTAATGAACGTATTCGAAAAGCAGTGACAGTGATTGATTATACACAAAACATGCGCTTGGTTGACAAATGTGACATGCAGATTGGCTTTGTTGATTGTGCTCATAAGAGTTACAAGTGGTACACAAAACTTTTCTTCCATCTCATGGACATTTCAATACTCAATGCATATAATATGTATCAAGTGAAGATTGGCAACAGACCACTGTATGGTGAATTTTGTTTGTCTGTTGTCAGACAACTCATAATGAAATACCAGGTAACAACACCTGCTATACAAAACCGTCCTCGAACTCTTCAGGATATGCTCAAGCGTTTGAGGAGGGAAGGTGATCACTTCATAATACAGCTTCCTGCAACTAAGAAGAAATTTGCTCAGAAGAGATGTGTTGTCTGTGCACAAACAAAACGATGGCAACAAAGACGCAAAGACACTCGGTTTATGTGCGAGGAATGTAAGGTACCTCTGTGAATGATACCTTGTTTCAAGGAGTTCCACAAGCTGCAGAAGTTCTAAAAACATGTCCAGTGATTGTACATATGTAAATATATAATAGAACATTAGTATTATACAAGATTTGTGCATGTTTATTGTAATAAACAAAAGTGGTAAACAATATTATAATAATAACTTTAGTGTGGTTGTGTTCAATACAGTGAGTGTATATATATACATTACATACAGTATTGGTCTCACAGGCCTCAAATATTACTAGGAACAGAAAAAAATTAGAAAAGAAAAAAGTATAAAGAAATGCAAGTTTGTGGAAATTGCCGATGTTGCCGCCACCCGGTCATTTTGGGTCAACTTCTCGCCTCTGTATCTCGTTAAGTACTGATCAGAAATTTTTTTTGTTTAATTACCTTTACAAAAATATACTCTTTAATTCTGTAAGAAAAAACGTTTTATTTTTTTTTTTTTTTCAAAATTTCTTGGACACTGGGGCACCCCTTCCGATTTTGGCCTTGGACCCTGAAAGGGTTAAATCCTTCAAAGTCACAGATGACTGAAGGCCACAAGTTCTAGGGTGCACTGAAGCACCAAGGAGAAACTTCATTCCAGAAATTCACTATATTTTATTTTATTTTATTATCACACCGGCCGATTCCCACCAAGGCAGGGTGGCCCGAAAAAGAAAAACTTTCACCATCATTCACTCCATCACTGTCTTGCCAGAAGGGTGCTTTACACTACAGTTTTTAAACTGCAACATTAACACCCCTCCTTCAGAGTGCAGGCACTGTACTTCCCATCTCCAGGACTCAAGTCCGGCCTGCCGGTTTCCCTGACTTGAGTCCTGGAGATGGGAAGTACAGTGCCTGCACTCTGAAGGAGGGGTGTTAATGTTGCAGTTTAAAAACTGTAGTGTAAAGCACCCTTCTGGCAAGACAGTGATGGAGTGAATGATGGTGAAAGTTTTTCTTTTTCGGGCCACCCTGCCTTGGTGGGAATCGGCCGGTGTGATAATAAAATAAAATAAAATATAGTGAATTTCTGGAATGAAGTTTCTCCTTGGTGCTTCAGTGCACCCTAGAACTTGTGGCCTTCAGTCATCTGTGACTTTGAAGGATTTAACCCTTTCAGGGTCCAAGGCCAAAATCGGAAGGGGTGCCCCAGTGTCCAAGAAATTTTGAAAAAAAAAAAAAAAATAAAACGTTTTTTCTTACAGAATTAAAGAGTATATTTTTGTAAAGGTAATTAAACAAAAAAAATTTCTGATCAGTACTATAAGCCTCATATAATCTACGATGTTAAACTTAATCTTTCAGAATTCCTTCAAGCTGATGGCTTCATCTCCTGAAGTTTCTGCAAAGCACTTGGCAAACAACTTGGTGTAATTTTTTTGAAATTCACAATCACTTGCTGACACAGAGTGGTGTTGGGTACACACATTCTGTCTCAAAATTTTCATCGTAACAACACTAAATTCCTTTACGAGGGTAAATCATAACTAAAGAAACCACTATATTTCACTTATGCTGTACTTAAGTGTGCCTGATTGGAGTGAATGGAGATGAGTGGCTTTTATGGCTTGACGTGATGTTGGAAAGTGAGCAAGGGGTTCAGGAAAACTGGTTAACTTGGGATCAAGTCCTGAAAGTGGAAAGTACAGTGCCTACACTCTGAAGGAGAGGTGGGGGATGTTGCAGTTTAGAGGGTTATTTGAATTGTGATTTCTATACACTTCTGGCAAGACAGCTACCGAATAAGTGAGGGTGGATGTGTATTTTTGTATGGGTCACCCTACCTTGGTGAAAGACATTTTTTTTTTTTTTTACAAGGTGCATTAGGGCTCAAATATCCTTATATGTTGTTTTTACTTTATATTCTATTTCTACTAGACAGATAACACAACTATCACTTCACATTCAAATTTTGACTTAACATACATTGCAAACAGTTTTTCTTGCATTCTCTATCTATATGTCTGAACACTATTTTGAGGTGTGCTAGTGTAGCACACAAGCTTCTTGCAAGCACATTTTTTCTTTAGTGCATCCTTCAGTGTGGTGCTGCCACTTATACTAATTCACAATATGCTATATCCTATGCTTTTCATAGAATAATTAAGTAAAATAAATGATTTTAGACTATCAGTAATGTATGGAAATGATTCTTAACTTGACTTACGAAACTTTCCAGTACAGTATATACTGCTATAAAAATGCTGAAGAAACAATCAAATACTGGCTGTTTGACAATGGAAATAATTATTACTGACAGGCTGAGTAAAGTAAATTTTAGATACAACATTGTAGAATTTTCATAAGCAATGAAATAAGCCTTAATAACAAACAGTTTAGATCTGCCAACACAGGGATATGTTTTATTTCCTCACCATAATAGGGCTCAAAAGATAACAAGCAAGAAATGTCAGCCAAGAGTAGTTTTCCTCGTAATATAATTTATAATGAATTTTAACTAACAAATACTGCACTGCAAATTAAAGAACAATGCTTTGGTCCACCCTGAACTATTTATAAAGTTACTTACTTTCATTTGTTTAACATGTAGTGGGGCTAATCAACTCTGGTTCAGAAAAAAATGCAAGGAAGACTTTGAATTTTCAGAGTCAGGGACATCCTCGAAAAATTCTGCAAACATTTTTTCTGTAACCATCTATTTGAATTTGCATAATACATTTAATGTAAACTGTAGGCACACACTGAGTCTAGGCTTTTGATGAGAGAACAACAATGAGCAGGCAATTCAACACTAATGTACAGTACGTACAGTACTTCATCTGTCAAAAATATCAGTGTAACCAATAATAAATGGGGTCTTAAAAATGTTATGCACATTTTCCTCACAGTAAAATGGATAAAGAAGTCAACCTACAATATAGTTAGATTAGTAGATATGCACATTATATGAAAAAATTGTAAATGTGGATTCTAAAAAGTACAAGAAATATAAACTGACATTTCTGACTATCCCAGAACTGAATTTATGTATTTTTAAACTAATTTTTAAATATGTTATTAACATTATGGACAATTGCATTATGTAAGTGAGACTAATAAAATACTGAGATAATCAATATAAACAAGATACAGTATACCTTACAATTATGAAGATTCTAATCTCTATCATTAGCATCACTTGGACATATGTGACTCAAAATAGCACCAATGTAAGATATTCCTCACTAGGCATAAACCATCACATGGCAGTAATGGCACAAAATATTCTGTTGACAATTTGCAACCATGGCACCAGTTAACCTCTGTAGCAGCTTAGTATTTTCTCTTCAGATGTATTCTAATACAAAAATACACAGTATAGGTATAATCTCTTAAAAGTTGTAATCAAACAGACAGCAAATATGTAGTAATCATATTGGTAAATATTTTTTGTTAAAATCTTTATATATTAACTAATTCTTAAAATCTTTAAACCAACTGAATATTTAGCAGGTAGAGAAAACTAAAACCTTGCCTTCATATATAAATTTCCTGTCTCAAGCCTGGATAAAATATGTCTACGTGGGGGTTAACAGTCTCCAGAACCATTAACATTTATATGACAAATATAAAAATGCAAGAAAGCCCAATCTTTGAAGTGAAAAGGATCTGTTATTAATCAATAAATTAAGATACAGACTGCTAAGCATCTCAAATTGAATTATGCTCTTTAAAAAGGGTTCAAAAATTTCAAATTCATGTAACCCTCTATTTAGTCACAGTACTATATTAAAAAATTCTCACAGGATCACACCATCCATGCTAAAAAATACTGATTCAGGACTCAATTGGACGGACTAGTATCCTTCAACTCTAGCCTTGGAGCATTTTACTAAGGCAACTGTATCATCACATCGGTACAGAGAGTATCACCTCTCTACACAGGATATCACAAACAGGACTCCTTGCAACTTGCATGTCAGATCGTGGAACATCCTTAAATTGTGGATTCACTGTGGACTGAGCTGGTGATTCAGAAAACTCTCCTGGCTCCATTTTTTATGGGGCTTGATGTGGAGAACTGCATCACTAGGTCAAAATTCAATTAACCATGTGATTATTGGCTTTCATACTAATTTGGAAAAAATGTATATCATATAATGTCCTGCAAAGGTTTTGTAATATCTTTTGATGTTTTGACCTGATCTGTGTCTTCTAAAATTATTAACTCAATTTTAGCTTCCTGGTTATTATTGAATTGATTAAAATCATTTTTCTTTGTTATTTGATTCTGGCTTTCAACTTTATTATTACCAGTAAATTTAGTGAAATTCTTTACATCACCAGTAGTAATGGTGTTAGAATTTGAAACATCAGATGAATTCAATGGGGAACTGAATAAATTCTGTACTCTAGTAGAAAAACTGGGTTTAGAAATGGCTGTGGACTGTGTGTGAATGGTACTTTGAGTGGATGAGGTAACAGATGGATTGGATAAATTTGATTTTGGTTCTTTCTGCGAGTTATTCATTGTAGCTGAAGTTTGTGACTTTTGATTCTTAATTTCAGAAGAGGTGTTCCCTTCTAAAGAAGGCTGTGACTGCTGGTCTTGTTTATTGATTTTCTCTTGATTAGTATCCTTTTGTTGCTGTTGTTCATTTGCAGCTTCTTTTGATGTAGAGTTCTGCCATATAGACTGCTCTTTTTGTGGTGGTTTCTCTTTAGAAGACTCTCTGGATGAATCTTTAGAATGAGTGCATGAAGTGGGAGGCTGTGATTGAGCTTCATTTTGAGATGACAAACTCTGTGGTAGTGCATTGTTTCCACAAGATGGAATATTACCCATTTCCCACTCTCTTCTGAGACGAGCAAGGATACTTGGAGCATCGTCAGTATCAAGGCTTCCTTGGCATGCTGCAAGAGGTGCTGAATTTCTGTAGGTGTGGCCAGCACTTGAATTAGCCCGGCGAACTAGGATAGCAGCATTTTGCCTATTACTACTACGTACACTATTACACTTCCTACATGCAACTGTTGGATGATGTGCATTGCGACATATGGGAGGGCGAGGCACAGCCATATCAGTAGAAAGATTAGGGGCACTAGGAGACATTTTAGGTCCCATTCGACGGTTAAAATTCATTGTCGGGCTACCAGGCATTAATGGAATAGGAACTTGCTCATTAGGGTTAACAGGTGATGACTGTAACCCACTACCTCCTGTCTGTTGAGAGAGTACCTCATGGTGGCCATGGTATGGAGGAGGATTACCACGTGGATGGCCTGTTGATCTTGAGTTTGCTGTCTGCAGTGGAGCTTCATGCCCCACTTGCAATTGTGACTGTGAAGCTGCCATGGATGAAATATCTCTTGGGGGTGGGGAAGGAACATTACCTGTCATCTCCAAAGGATACGAAGGTGGAGGGTCATACGGTGGACAGGAGAGGGCAGGAACATCATTGTGGGAGTGAGCGTGGACCAGGGAGGAACGATCCATACCCATATTGAGGCCTAGGTGTGACAGATCACTGGTAAGGTGTTGAGAGGGTGGGAGCAGGGAGGGATGAGGCTCTACACATGCCAGTAGTGGCTGGGATACCGTGCCTTCTCCAGCTGCAGAGCTAGGATGAGCCAGTCCTGGAAAACACACCACACGCAGCTGCAATGAAATATCTGTGTGTCACCAACACAGAATTGACAGTCGTAGGAGAAATGGCCAAACATAAAACAAGTCAGTACCTAATAGCACTACAGCACTATAGTTTGCTAATAAGCAATAAATACCTCATAAAATAGCCCTTAAAGCAAAGAAATTTGTGGGAAAATGAATTTCTATTTTTCCAAGAATTGTATAATACACTAAAATCTATCACTTGCAGTGTTAATTATGCTACTAATTTTGTACAGTGCCACTAGCAAATTAAATTAGTAACTAAAAAGACTAAGTGGCCATATATATAAATCCTGTCACACTTTCATCTGTAAAAATTATGGTCAACTAGCTACACTCATCCCTATTGGTTATAAATTTACATCAAGAAACCAAGTAGCTAATAAATAAAAATTTCATTATTCAACTAAACCACTGGTGCACTGGAATGGTAGTATTACTGGTAGATAGAGTAAGAGAACATTACTTGCAGAGTAAACCTTTATTTAAAGTCAATTTTGCACTTTTTTTTTTAATACACTGGCTGTCTCCCACTGAGGCAGGGTGACCTAAAACAGAAACACTTTCACCATCATTCACACATAATCATTGTCTTTGCAGAGGAGCACAGATATGACAATTCAAATGTCACTCTAAACAGCAAACATCCCAAATCCCTCCATTAACTTCGAGGGTCCAGAAGCCACATCTCAAAAGTGACAGCCAGGGTCCAAGAATTTTCAAACAAATTTGTTGTTATTTTTTCTTATGAAATGGTAGAGAATCTTTTTCTGAAGGTAATAAAACAAAAAGTACAAAATTTGATGGAAAATTGACAAAATTAAACTCTCGTGAATTTTGTTACATTGGCAATTTTGCCGACTTTGACTCCCATTTTAGGTCAATTACATTATTCCAGTCGGCTAAATTCTTAGCTATTTTGCTAGCATTACTTCTATTTTATCGATTGAGCACAAGAAAACACCCAGACAACTGTTTCAACTACCCAATAAAGTGATTGGAAATTGGCAATTTGGCCAATTTAACACAAAGTTCAAAATATTCCATTTTCAAAATAGGGTCCAGAATAAACAATGTAGGTATTCTTGGCACTAAATTAACATTTCCTCTGTTTATTAGTTATGTTCTCAGGCTTTACAAATGAATTACATTTTGATTTTTCATTCTCATAAATTTTTATTCACGCCAAAAAATAGAAGATTTACTGTTATGCAATATTGTAATAATTGTATAAATAATATCAGCACATTTGTGAACATGTATAGATGCACCAGCTGACGTGTGTTAGATGTGTGACATCATTTGTTTACTCTTGAACATTGGCAAAAATGGAACATTTCTGCTAATTTGAGCCCAGTTTCAAGCTATTTTCAGCCATAAAACCAATCAAAATCATCTCTATTTCTACAATATATCTTCCATTCTATCAAATGAGACCAAGAAATCATGAATACAACTATAAAAAACATACAAAAAACACCACAAAGTCGCTGTTTTAATCTAAAAATACGGTCGCAGTTTTTTTTTCTCATTATGTACTTTGTGCTGCAGTATTTGTTTTATGTAGTGCACACTTACCACATAGATATATTCTCTCATATCTAGGCCCAAATTTACTGCTTACAGCTTATCTGAGTGAGCTGAGCTCAAGCTGTAGTTCTACAGCTTGGACCCAGGCTTCAATGCTGTAGAACTGTGGGATGGACCTGCAAACAGTTAAAGTGCAGGCATTGCACTTCCCACCTCTTGGACTCAAGTCCGGCTAACTGGTTTCCCTGAATCCCTTCACAAAATATTGCCCTGCTCATGCTCCAGCAGCTCGTCAAGTCCGAAAAACCATTTGTCTCCATTCAATCCTATCTAACACACTCACACATGTCTACTGTATGTCCAAGCTCTTTGCACACAAAACCACCTTTACCCTGTCCATCTTTTCCTAGGACAATCCCTATCCCTCCTCCCCTCCACTACAGATTTATATATCCTCCAAGTCATCCTGTTTTGCTCCATCCTCTCTAAATAACCAAACTACCTCAATATCCCCTCCTCAGCCATCTGAACACTTTTAGTAATTCCACACCTCCTCCTAATTTCCACACTATGAATTCTCTGCATAATACAGTGGAACCCCGAGTTTCGGCTGCCCTGAGTATCGGCTGCTTCAAGTTTCTACCTCTTTTTTCGGCTAAATTTTGTCCCAAGTTTCGGCCTGTGCCCCTGCCCACGCAGGTGTCGTGAGCCAGTCTAGCTTTGTTTATCCTTGATTGAACATTACCCTGTGAGCTCATCCAAACATTTCACAATAAATTCATTGTGTTTAGTGCTTGTTTATTGATTGTGACTGTGAAATAAGCCACCATGGGCCCAAAGAAGCTTCCTAGTGGCAGCCCTTAGGTAAAGAAAGTGAGAAACACCACAGAAGTGAAGGAGATAGCACAAAAATACGAGTGGAGTACATGTGGGCGAGCTTGCCAGGATGAACAGCAAAAACAAATCAACAATCACTTCTATCCTAGCAAAGAGAAAAGAACTCAAGGAAGCTGATGTTGGAAAAGGTGTTAACATTCTTTCTTTCAACACACCGGCCGTATCCCACCGAGGTGGGGTGGCCCAAAAGGAAAAACAAAAGTTTCTCCTTTTACATTTAGTAATATATACAGGAGAAGAGGTTACTAGCCCCTTGCTCCCGGCATTTTAGTCGCCTCTTACAACACGCATGGCTTACGGAGGAAGAATTCTGTTCCACTTCCCCATGGAGATAAGAGGAAATAAACAAGAATAAGAACTAGAAAGAAAATAGAAGAAAACCCAGAGGGGTGTGTATATATGTGCTTGTACATGTATGTGTAGTGTGACCTAAGTGTAAGTAGAAGTAGCAAGACGTACCTGAAATCTTGCATGTTCATGAGACAGAAAAAAGGACACCAGCAATCCTACCATCATGTAAAACAATTACAGGCTTTCGTTTTACACTCACTTGGCAGGACGGTAGTACCTCCCTGGGCGGTTGCTGTCTACCAACCTACTACCTATAAAGGTGTTAACATGTTAACCAAAAATAGATCACAAACAGGAACTTGCTTCAGAGGAGGAGGAAGAGGGAGTGAAGGAGGTGCCTTCTTCAGTGATTAAGGACATGTGTGGAATGTGCAAAGTTTTGTGGAAAAATACCACCCTGAGCAAGCTGAAACAAGCCATCTCTGCAATACGTTCAGTGACAAAACAATGTCCCATTTTAGGCAAATTTTAGAGACGCCAGAAACAGAGCACTCTTGACAGTTATTTTGTGCGACAGAGGTCCAGTGACTCTCAAGCTGGTCCAAGTGGCATTAAAAGACAAAGAAGGGAAGTAACCCCAGATAAGGACTTGTTACCTAAAGTCTTTACGGAAGATTTCCCTTCCAAACAATAAGTCTTCCTTCTCTCCTCCTCCCTATCTTCCAGATGCCAGAAAGATTCTTCAATAAAGGTATGTAAATGTGATTTTAAATGTTTGATTAAATGTTTATTTATGTATTGCATTACTCATTTAACCCTCTGACTGTCGCAACCCCCAATCCTGAGGTGTCTCCTGGTGTCGCAAAATTTAAAAAAAAAAAATTATTTTTTCTTATGAAATGATAGAGAATCTTTTCCCGATTGTAATGACACCAAAAAAAAACGAAATTTGATGGAAAACTGACGGAATTATGCTCTCGCGAAGTTAGCGACCTCGGCGCTGTTTACGAATCGGCAATTTCGCCCACTTTGAGCCCTATTTTCGGCTAATTCCATTGTTCCAGTCGCCCAAACTCATAGCTATTTCTTTAGAACTCCATTTTTTCTATCGACTGAGTACAAGAAACTGCCCATTTACCGATTTCAACTACCTAATAATATGGTCAGAAATTTGCAATTTGGCCAATTTCACGAAAACTAAAAAATATGACAATTTCAAAATAAGGTCCAGAATGAACAATGCAGACATTCCTGGCTCTAAAATAACATTTTCTTTGCTCATCAGTCATGTCTCCAGACCCCTCTGATATTACTCTTGTTTTCTATTTTGAATTTTTATTCAAACAAAAAATAGAAGACTTACTATTATGCAGACTACTGCAATACTGTAATAATTATATAAATAACATCAACCCATTCATGACTGCATATTAGAATGGCTAGTTGGACATTTATTGGACAATGGCATCATTTGTTTACTTTTGAACACTGGCAAAAATCAAACATTTCCCCTACTTCGAGCTCCATTTCTAGGTTCTTTTTATAGTAAAATCAATCAAAATCACCTCTATTTCTATAATATGTTTTCCATTCTATCAAATGAAACCAAGAAAACGAGAATACAACCATAAATACTATACGAAAATAGACCACAAAGTCGGCATTTTAATTAAAAAAAAACGGTCAGTTTTTTTTTCTCATTATGCACTGCGTGCTCCAGGATTTTTTTTATATGGTGCACACTGAACCCATTCTCTCACATGTGGGCCTACCAGCTTTCTCCTGCTTGATTTGAAGCCACTACAATTTATGAGTATATATACGTCAAACACGGTACCTCGTAAGACGTATATATACGGCCGCGACAGTCAAAGGGTTAAGTACTATATGTATGTTTCAAGTACTATATGTATGTTAAACTATAGTATTCTTTAAAAAATGTATTTTTTGTGAGTCTTTTTGTGGGTCTGGAATGGATTAATTGTACGTATTTACATTATTTCTTATGCGAAATATTGCTTCGACTTTAGGCCGTTTCGAGTTTAGGCCTAGCTCCTGGAACGAATTATGGCCAAAACTCAGGGTTCCACTGTATTTACACCATACATTGCCCTTAGACACAACACGTCTACTGCCTCCAGTCTCCTCCTCGCTGTAGCTTTTACAACCCATGCTTCACACTCATACAAGAGTGTTGGTACCACTGTACTCTCATACATTCCCTTCTTTGCCTCCATGGATAAAGTTCTCATTCTCTCTCTCTCGTTTAT